ATTACAAATATATATTCTTAGATTATTCCTTCTCTAATAAGCAGCGTGACCAACACTCAGTCTATACTGTTTTTCAAATTCTTAATACAGAGCCTTCGTGTGAATATTACAAAAAAAAAAGAAGGAAAAAGGTCATGTTGACTTCTCAGAATATGAGATAAAAATAAGACAACACCAAGAATATAGACTTTCTCAAAACATTATGAATATATAATAAAGGAAAAAAGTGAAAGCAGCCTCAAACTAGGGATTAATTAAAGCCTTATGAGCAGGTCTTGGCGCAACACCAGGTATACTTATCGCACTAGCAAATTTTCAGTAATTTGCATTTTCGCGTAAATTAGGGTCTTTTTGCGGTACAGACCATTTTCGTCATATAATAGATTATTTTTTCTCTTTATCTCCCTCTTTCCTCTCCCTCCCCTCTCTCTCCTAGCAGGTCTCCTGGTACTGTCTCCCGAGGCGCTCCCTAAAGGGTCCCCTCTCCCCTCTCCTCCCTCTCCCTCCCCATCCAGGTCCTCCTCCCGGTACTGTCTCCCGAGGCGCTCCCTCTCCTCCCTGACTCTCCCTCTCCCCCCTCCCTCCCTCCCCCTCTCTCCCTCTCTCTCTTCTTCCTTCTCCCTCTCTCCTCTCTCTCTCTCCCTCCCTCCTCTCTCTCCCTCACCCATCCAGGTCCCCTCCCGGTACTGTCTCCGAGGCGCTCCCTCTCCTCCCTGATTCTCTCTCCCTCTCTCCTATCTCTCTCCTCCTCCCTCTCTCTCTCCCTCTCCCTCTCTCTCCCTCTCCCTCTCTCCCTCCCTCCCTCTCTCTCCCTCACCCATCCAGGTCCCCTCTCGGTACTGTCTCCCGAGGCGGCTCCCTAACTCTCTCTCTCTCCCTCTTCCTCTCTCTCTCCCTCTCCCTCCCTCCCTCTCTCTCCCTCACCCATCCAGGTCCTCCTCCCGGTACTGTCTCCCGAGGCGCTCCCTCTCCTCCCTGACTCTCTCCCTCTCTCCCTATCTCTCTCCCTCCTCCCTCTCTCTCTCCCCTCTCCCTCTCTCTCCCTCTCCTCCCTCTCCCTCCCTCCTCTCTCCCCTCCCTCTCTCTCCTCACCCATCCAGGTCCTCCTCTCGGTACTGTTCCCGAGGCGCTCCTCTCCCCCCTGACTCTCTCCATCTCTTCTCTCCTTCACTCTCCCTCTCTCCCTCCCTTCTCCTTCTCTCTCCTCTCTCTCTCCCTCCCTCCCTCCTCCCTCTCTCTCCTCCCTCTCCCTCTCTCTCCTCTCCTCTCCTCTCTCTCTCTCCTCCCTCCCTCCCTCTCTCCTTCTCCCTCACCCATCCAGGTCCCCCTCCCGGTACTGTCCCGAGGCGCTCCCTCTCCTCCCTGACTCACTCCCTCTCCACCCTCACCTCCCTCTGTCCCTATCTCTCTCCCTATCTCTCTCTCTCTCCACTCTCCCTCCCTCCTCCCTCTCTCTCCCTACCCAGGTCCTCCTCCCGGTACTGTCTCCGAGGCGCTCCCTCTCCTCCCTGACTCTCTCCAGCTGCACGAAGAACCGCTGGCGAACGAAGTCGTAGAACTCCAGCTCCTCTTTCATCCAGTACTCCAGGGCCGCGAGTGTTGCGTTCGAGGTCACGGGCTTCTTCTTCTGGACGTTCCATTTGGCGTATTCTGTGGGTGGGGAAAAGGGACGTGGGAAGGCGCGGGCTCTCGTATGTACATGTGTAGGTGTGTGTGTGATTGTGTGTGTGTGTGTGTGTGTGTGTGTTGTGTGTGTGTGTCTGTGTGTGTGATTGTGTGTTTTTTATGTGTGTGATTGTGTGTGTGTGATTGTGTGTGTGTGTGTATGTGTGTGTGATTGTGTGTGTGTGTGATTGTGTGTGTGTGTCTCTGTGTGTCTGTGTGTGTGTGTCTGTGTGTGTGATTGTGTGTTTTTATGTGTGTGTGTGTGTGTGGTTTTGTGTGTGTGTGTGTGTGAGAGAGAGAGAGAGAGAGAGAGAGAGAGAGAGAGAGAGAGAGAGAGAGAGAGAGAGAGAGAGAGAGAGAGAGAGAGAGAGAGAGAGAGAGAGAGAGAGAGAGAGAGAGAGAGAGAGAGAGAGAGAGAGAGAGAGAGGAGAGAGAGAGAGAGAGAGAGAGAGAGAGAGAGAGAGAGAGAGAGAGAGAGAGAGAGAGAGGAGGAGAGAGAGGAAAGCCACACAACTCCACTTAGCGTGGATATCACATCCTTCTCTTACTCTCATTATCTCCCACTACGAAAAAGAAAGAAAGAGAAAGAGAGAGAACAGAGGCTTACTAATAGCCGTCGCCTTCGAGAAGAATCCAGGAAGGACATGTTGCAGCACTAGCAGCGTGTCCTTGTAGCGTTCCATGAGGCCCACCGCCACATATGCGGTCTCCACCACCTGCTTCGCCACCTGCAGAGCCTTCCGGTTGCCAATGATGCTAAGGGGGTCAAGAGAGCATCATGTGGCATGGGAAAATGTCACGTGTCATGAGGATATATTATGTGGAAGGTGAAAATATGTGGCATGGGAAAGTGTCACGTGTCATGAGGAAATATTATGTGGAAGGTGAAAATATGTGGCATGAGAAAAATGTCACGTGTCATGAGGAGATATCATGTGGAAGGTGAAAATATGTGGCATGGGAAAGTGTCACGTGTCATGAGGAAATATTATGTGGAATGTGAAAATATGTGGCATGGGAAAGTGTCACGTGTCATGAGGAATATCGTGGAATGTGAAAATATGTGGCATGAGAAAGTGTCACGTGTCATGAGGAGATATTATGTGGAAGGTGAAAATATGTGCATGAGAAATGTCACGTGTCATGAGGAACTATTATGTGAAAATATTGGCATGAGAATGTCACGTGACATGAGGAAATATTATGTGAAAATATGTGGCATGAGAAAGTGTCACGTGTCATGAGGAAAATATGTGAAATGTGAAAATATGTGGCATGAGAATATGTCACGTGTCATGAGGAAATATCATGTGGAAGGTGAAAATATGTGGCATGAGATAATGTCACGTGTCATGAGGAAATATCATGTGGAAGGTGAAAATATGTGGCATGGGAAAGTGTCAACGTGTCATGAGGATATATCATGTGGAAGGTGAAAATATGTGGCATGGGAAAAGTGTCACGTGTCATGAGGAGATATCATGTGGAAGGTGAAAATATGTGGCATGAGATAATGTCACGTGACAGGAGGAATATTATGTGAAATGTGAAAATATGTGGCATGAGAAAATGTCACGTGTCATGAGGATATATCATGTGGAAGGTGAAAATATGTGGCATGGGAAAATGTCACGTGACATGAGGAGATATCATGTGGAATGTGAAAATATGTGGCATGAGAAAATGTCACGTGTCATGAGGATATATCATGTGGAATGTGGAAAATATGTGGCATGAGAAAAATGTCACGTGACTATGAGTAAATATCATGTGAAATGTGAAAATGTGTCATGTGCATGAGGAAATATTATGTGAAACTATGTGGCATGGGAAAATATCACGTACCTGCAGAAGATGTCGTGGCCGCAGAAGTAGGTCAGCTGCAGGCCCCTCGAAACCTCGCCTTTCCTGACCCTGCAGCGACCCGAGGAGTGGCACTCGTCCAGGCTCTCCGTCGGGCGCCTGTAGTAGTAGTGGCTGACGTAGCGAGAGACTGGGTGTCGGACCACGTTGATCCAGGAGGGCTCCGCGAAGCCAAGCCTGAGGGAGGGTGGGGCACGCCTCGTCCAGTCCGGGGGGTAGAGGATAGATTGGTTGGAATTATATATACATATATACATACATACACGCACACGCACGCACGCACGCACACACACACAACATACACGCACACACACACGCACGGACACACACACACACACACACACACACGCATATCTCTCTCCTCTCTCTCTCTCTCTCTATAGATTATATATATATATATATATATATATATATATATATATATATATATATATATATATATATATATATATATTTAAGTGGTATATGTACATTATAAACGGAGATGCTGCGTGAGTATGTATTCTGACACGTATATATTTACACACGTTCGCACTACGTACCATTAAAGCCACTCCACACACACACAAAAAAACAAAACCTTAGTAACTCATTATCTGACTGCTCTCTCTCTCTCTCTCTTTCTCTCTCTCTCTCCTCTCTCTCTCTCTCTCCCTCTCTCTCTCTCTCTCTCTCTCTCTCTCTCACTCTTTCTCTCTCCTCCCTCCCTCTCTCTCTCTCTCTCTCTCTCTCTCCTCTCTCTCTCTCTCTCTCTCTCTCTCTCTCTCTCTCTCTCTCTCTCTCTCTCTCTCTCTCTCTCTCTCTCTCCTCCCCCTCTCCTCCTCCCTCCCTCCCTCCTCCCTCTCCCTCCCCCTCCTCCCTCCCTCTCTCCTCCCTCTCTCCCCCTCCTTCTCCCTCTCCTCACACACAGAACCCAACAACGCACTTTGTGAAATTGACGAAATAAATGTGCTTGAAGAAAAAATGCGAAAGGTGGGCGGGGCGGTTAAACATCCATTCCGCCAACCTCAACTGCTGCTCGCGTGTGATGTGCGTTAGGCCCGTATCCCTCATGTTGTTTAGGGTGAATCCGTGCCTCCGAGACAAGCTGTAATAGATGTATTTTGGAAGTTTTTATTTTTTAGGTTTACTGTATATCAATGGTGGTGGTGGTATTGTTATAATTGGTATTGGCATTGTGGTTAGTGTTGTTGCCATTGTGACACGGGTAATGGTGCATACATCCGTATCCCTCATGTTGTTTAGGGTGAATCCGTGCCTCCGAGACAAGCTGTAATAGATGTATTTTGGAAGTTTTTTTATTTTTTAGGTTTACTGTATATTAATGGGAAGATTTTATTTTTTAGGTTTGCTGTATATTAATGGTGGTGGTAGTATTGTTATAATTGTTATTGGCATTGTGGTTAGTGTTGTTGCCATTGTGACACGGGTAATGCATACATTTTTTTCTTTGGGCAAAGATCGTAGTGACACAAAATGAAATCAGATTGCTTACGCTTATGCGGTGAAATGTTTTCGTATGATTTTCGGTACTAACGAAAACGTTAGGAGACATTTGATTACTTTTTAAAAATTTGAATTTTTGTGCGCGGGAACGGAGACATTTGATTACTTTTTAAAATTTTGAATTTTTGTGCGCGGGAACGGAGACATTTGATTACTTTTTTAAAATTTTGAATTTTGTGCGCGGGAACTTTGCGTTGCCGCTCTGCAGTATTTAATATTTTTTACAATGTAACTCTTGAGAATAGGAGCGAATAGAAGAAATGGGGAAGAGGAAATAATTTTCTGAAGCTGTGCCTAAGAGGTTCTCTAATTGGAAATAATGCCATCTATTTGGGAATTCACTACCGCTTAGCATTCCATTTATCATAATTTTAATCCGTGTTTATTGAAAGTGACCAGAAAGAGGGAAAAATCAAGGCCACCAATGTTGTTACCGAAGGAAAAAATGCATAATAACATACTCAGATTACATTAGAGATCATGAACGACTTGAAAACGTGCAGTTCTAGCAGTTATTTTCATAATGAGGAACTCTTGAGAATAGGCGCGAACAGAGGGGGCAGAGGAACTATTTTTTTTTCCGCAGCTACGAGGTTCTCCAAATGGAAATAACGTCATCTGTCTGGAAACCCACTATTAGCATTCTATTTATTAAAATGTTAATGTTAATTTATTCTGTCGTAGATGATGACTTTAGGTCATTTTTTCAGAAAATTACGAGAAAGCGGTAAAAAAATCAAGGCCACCAGTTTTCTGAAAGAAAAAATGCATAATAACGCATTCAGATTACCATAGAGATCATCAACTTGAAAACGAACCTTCATAGCGAACCATCACAGTTCACAACAGCGTTCACAACGAACCAGCGGAACGAACCTTCGAACGAGGCGAAGCAGAGTCGCCGAGCCGCACTTCGGGACGCGATTGTAGACGAGGAACTTGGGAAAGACCGGAGTTACGATCACGTCTGGAAGGTTGGAGATGAGGAGTGGAAAGAGAAATCGAGTGCCCTAAGGCTGGGTTCGGAACTTGCTCGTCTTGCTCGTCCAGACATCTTGTCCAGGACCAGCAGGACAAGTGGGCCGCGTTCGGAACCTCCAAGACCCTTTCTGCCCAGAATGCAACCGGCTCGAAAGTAAACATTCACTTTTTTATCATACCGGTGTCTTTATTTTACACGCTGCATAGGTTTTGTAACTCCTTTGATGCATATTTAACTTACCTGCAACTGACAAACACAAAAATATCCTTTGATAACACCAATAAAGGGTCATAAAATTACCCACCAATATCTTGTGGTTACCTGCAACTGTCAATGTTTACATACAAATCTATTGTGACGTCATCTCGTCCTGCTCGGCCACCTTCGCAGGAGGGCGAGTTGGACGAGCTAGACTACTTGTCCGGGACGAGACAGTGGAGGTTCCGAACGGTCAAAACATCTCGTCCAACTGGTCTGGACGAGATTGACGAGCAGTTCCGAACGCGCCATAAAAATGGAGAGAAAGGGATGTGGCCGCTTCTTGATGACCTTGAAAAAGGGGGTGAAAAACGTAGTACTTACTTACCTCCGCGGATTTTCTGTTGTGAATTCTGTTTTTGTTCTGCTCGCTTTCGCTGTCTCTCTCTTCTCTCTCTCTCTCTCTCTCTCTCTCTCTCTCTCTCTCTCTCTCTCTCTCTCTCTCTCTCTCTCTCTCTCTCTCTCTCTCTCTCTCTCTCTCTCTCTCTCTCTCTCTCTCTCTCTCTCTCTCTCTCTCTCTCTCTCTCTCTCTCTCTCTCTCTCTCTCTCTCTCTCTCCCTCCCTCCCTCTCCCTCTCCCTCTCCCTCTCCCCTCCCTCTCCCTCTCTCTCTCTCTCTCTCTCTCTCTCTCTCTCCTCTCTCTCTCCCTCTCCCTCTCCCCTCTCCCTCTCCTCTCCCTCTCCCTCTCCCTCTCCCTCTCCCTCTCCCTCTCCCTCTCCCTCTCCCTCCCTCTCCCCCTCTCTCTCTCCCTCTCCCTCTCCCTCTTTTATACATCCGTCACTCGACATAGGCCTTCTTCTCCACAGACTTTTCCGCGCTGTGAATACTGGCTACCAAATAGTCCTCTGCAACGAAAGACACTTGTGGTGCATTCGTTTTACCTTCATTATCATTAATACATTTTTACCTGCGCCTTTGCTGCAAATTGGGCGTCGTGTTTAAACACCTGTGAGACAGTTTATACACTCATATTCTTGAGAGAAAAAAAACTATCTTAGACTTCGTAGATTTGTCAGAAGCTTGGATTATGGTGCACTCCCTTACTTTGCTATGTAAGGATCACTGATGCAATGATTACTATGTAATTATTACCAACTAAGAGCAGATATCTGACCGAGTGTGGTCATTCAGACTCATCGTTCAGTCCCTTTCGAAGGGTCACTATAAAGGGAATCATTTGGTAAAGGTTTTATATGGGTTGTTTAGTGATCATGAACGATATACATTGAAAAGATTTCATATTGTGTATATTTGCCCTCAAAACTCCCCATAGAGGCCAGTAAACTATCCTCCTAAAGATAAACAGCATATATATATATATATATATATATATATATATATATATATATATATATATATATATATGTATTGTGTGTGTGTGTGTGTGTGTGTGTGTGTGTGTGTGTGTGTGTGTGTGTGTGTGTGTTGTGTGTGTGTGTGTGTGTGTGTGTACATAACATATAGATACACACACACATATATATGTATATACATACATACATACTTATATATGATATATGTGTAGACTTTAAGCATGTCTAAATTATACTGATAGCTTTATTAGCATTAATTCCGAAGCAAATATGATTGATTAGACTGTGCATATAGTTTTGGCATGATTTTGATTACCAAAAATAATTGAACGGCAGTTTGCGAATGACATTTATATGCTAATACACGTTCAAGTAGAGCGTCTTGTATTTCTTTTTTTCTAATATTTCTCTAATCTCAGATGTATTTTTTTCTTGATGTTATCCCTCCGTTTCTCGATTTTACACCACGTTCATAAAGAAAGGGAAATGTTACCCTCTCTCTCTTGTCTCGACTCCATTTTTCTCCATTTGGCACCTGTGTCATCGGGAACACTTGTCTCAACCCGTGTCCTACTCGTCCTACCAGATTAATTTCCCAGTGTATACAAACGCAATAATCTACATAATCCATACCACCATCAACAACGTTATGGCTGTGGATGTGTGAGGATTCATGCACTGCATAACCAGTACCATATTATCTGGATTGTTTGCGTTGTATGTCTGTATATCATGTGGATATGTATAACTTTGCAATTGTATGATGTGTATTTCTGTATATCATGTGTATATGTATAACGTTGCAATCGTATGATGTTCCTATTCATTAACGAGGCCTCCCATATTTGTACTTCTGTTGTGACGTGGCAACATTCTTCATGGTCACGTGTCCCAGCTGCAAAATTCCCGCCAAATCTCGGTCACTCGGCTTTGGTGAAGCACGGGAGTCGGACGTTCTGTCACTCGGAACAGAACTTACGTAATTCAAGTTTGTTTTTTTCCTTTTTCCTGCGGATTACGAGGCTCGCGCACACCACTTCAAGAGGACGCACACGATGACCAACACTGCGCCAAAGTATACTAGTTTATTCCTCCGCGAATCAACGTTTAAAAAAAAAAAAAGTCACCGGGATTAAACCTCGAGCATTATTAGACCTCTTTATTACTACGAGTACTTACCTCTAGGATTTCTCGGCGCCACCAGGTCTCGAGGAGCGGCCAGGTAGCGCCCTCGTCCAGCCCTCGCTCCTCCTAAACCCAGGTCAACGAAGGGCGTGACGAGGAAGGTCAGCCAGAGCGAAAGAGCCGCCAAGTTCAGGACCAGAAAGACCTTGAAGACACGCCCAAACATCTCGAAGTTTCGCCGGCGGGTCTGTGGACTTACGTTGAACTTCGTGTCTTGTTTATATCTTCGAGACTGTTTAGGAAATATGTTTAGAAAGTATCAGTAGACTTATAGGTGTGATTCAGATAGTCGTTCTAAGATATAATTGATTTTGCACTATAACGGAATAAACATGTTCATTCATATATACATGATTACATACACACTTACATAATATATACATATACCATACTCATACACACATGCATACAAACGCACACACACACACACACACACACACACACACACACACACACACACACACACACACACACACACACACCACCACCCACCACCAACACACACCACCACACATATTTATATATATATATATATATATTATATATATATATATATATATATATATATATATATATATATATTATATATACGAGGCGTTGAGAAAGGGAGATGCGAACTCGCCAAAATCAAGTTTTGAGATAAACGAGTTTAAATTTTCATTTCGCTACGAGTTTCACAAGATATTTTATAACTTTAATTCTCAACCACTGGAAGGCGCAGTAATCTCTTCATTTCCTGCCATAACGCAGAACAGATTTCACAGAAACCAAGAGTGCAAGAGTATACATATTATATATATATATATTATA